GAGAGCCTCCTTCCACAGGCAGGGATGTGAAACCACACACTGCTGACAGCCACCGCCAGAACTACGGCCGAGCAGGACGGCAAACCCTTGCTCCTGTGCCATCAGTCCTGGGTTGCTCCCGTTCTGCCAAACCCACATGTTTGTCTCTTGCACCGAGACACCAGGCTGCCTTTTGAAGACTGATTATCTCCAGCTGCTTCCACTGGAATGTTGTACCTTCACCTGTGCAGTTTCACCTCGCCCACGGTTTACTAGGAGGAGGATGGATAACTCACAGCTATCAACGAGCTAAAATCCTGCACTTGCTGAAGTGCATTAGGTAACAGAGGTGCCATTTAGGCTATTGCTTGAATTGATATATTCCTGATAGGTATTCTGCCTTTTCTTTCCAGATCTACTGATAACTCTCTGTTAGATACATATTCATACTTTAAATTGGATAGATAAGAGATAATAAAAAAATCAACTGTATGACAGATTATTCCATCCTGCTTTATATTTTTTTTTTAAATGCTACATTCAAGAATTTCTGTTTTATCATTGAGAAAATGCAAAATGAACCCTCAATTCTTAAACACACTTGTGCAAGTCAAAAAGCCTTGTGCCCAAAACATTCCATAGTTAACCAACACCTATGACTAACCTGTTTATAATCCAGTTTTACCAATAGATAATTATGCTTAAATATGATGAAATTAATAAGACTGGTTTCTGAATGAACCATGATGTCTGTGTGAACAATATTATCTTTAGTATTTTAATAAACTGGCTTCTGAGAGTTGCCAACCGCTGACAGATAGATTAATGCAATAAACTTGTAATGGCTCAGAGCAAGTCAATGATCTGAGAACTACTAAGAATATCCTCGACAGCCCCCAGCGACTCTGGAAGAAGCTGATACAGTTCCTTGGGTGAACGTGTTTTCAGCTGCAGACTAGCCACGGATACTGTCTAATGGAGAGTAAAGTCTCCAAAAGCAGTTCTTACAGCCAGCTGAGTACATAACCTATGACCTGAAAGACACCTATGATGCCTGGCAAAGATATGTTTATTGGGGTAATTATACCAGCATTTCTTGAAAGGAAAAAATATTTACTAGGCTGGATAATTTAATTTCGGTCTGTAATCTTCTGTTATTCTAAAAGGTTTTGTTTGCTCTAGGAATCTCTGCTATACAGTGGTTTTATTTTTTCTGGAGAAAAGAAGACAATGTACTCTCTTGTCAACACAAGTTAAAATAATTCCTGTATACAAACTCACTCTTCAAATCTAATGAGATGTATACGCACACATACCAAAGTAAAACATTTCCTGTTTAATACTGAAGAGGAGATCAGAGGGAGCAAACTCCTGAGGTCCTAGAGCAACTAAAGAGAAAATACAATTTCTTCTGACGTACAGAGATTACCATCTGCTTATCTAGTGATGGTAATTTTTTGGAGGCCTTCCTTCTCTCCGAGGTCTTCAACTATCCCAATGAAAAGGATTAAGGAGAAGCAGAAAGCCCTCCTAAAAGCTCTGCATATTATTCAGTGATCATTAGGTGGTTTTATTAGTTAGGCGAGTAACTTTCTTTTCAGCCACAAATGTTTGAGTTTAGTTAAGTATCTCAGTCAGAGCAAATAAACTAGTACTTGGCAGAAATCGGGATTGCTCTGGAGATTCTGTACTACCAGGGCAACACAACACTTTAAATGTGTGTGCATAGAACTGAATCTGTTTTTTATACAGACATTTCTGGAGAGGGCATATATAAATAATATGTAATAAAATCTAAATTGCTAGCTTGAATCTGAGAAAGGGCTAATAATGGACAAGTGGCACAATAGCCATTTTCTACCTCACTGTATTGCAATAATGGAAAATTCTGTTGAAAGCATCTGGCTACAAAATCAATTACACTTTTTAAATTGGGCTTGCTTTCACTGCAAAGGTTGGGTTTGAAGCGTGCCTTTGGGCTGTGCAGAATTCTGACTTTAATGCACGGGCACTGGAGTGCAGGATTTTGCCTTCAACACTGAAGGGTCATCAATGTGGTCAATCAAATACTGGGTCCAACAGTGCAGGCAAAAGAGCTTGGAGAGGCGCCTGCGAGCTCTGCTCTGTGAACAGGCTGGGTATTTGCATGGAGTACAGGTTAGGTGGCCTGAGCCAGACGCACAAATAATTGACAAGCTGAAACATATTCAATCTATTTTAGAAGGTTTTAGCACCCTTTGACAGTGGTTGGATCTGGATTAGAGTGAAGCAGTGCAAAGGCCTCAGTTTTGGACACTTACCTGTTTCGTGCATCCTAGGTTTTTGGCAAGGAATGTCTAAAAGGCAGTGGCCCTGATCCAAAACTGAGCTATAACACATCTCAGTTACATTCGGATCTCAGAGATATACGAGCCGGGGAATTTATAGGCACAAAAGTGAGGGGGTAACCCCCAAATCATGTGTGAGCAAAGATTTGGGCATGAAGAATAGTGCTCAAGATTTTAAGGACTGATTTGGAAATAGTATGATTTAGCTTGTGTTTTGAGGAATTTGAGCTTTGTTACATTTCCTGGAAGTTGAATGGGGCAGTTGGTTTTCATTATTCCAATTACTGACTTGATTAATATATATACACACTTCCAGGAATCAGCATCACAAACTTCTCAGAAAAAACCCAAGAGAATAGAAAAGAAAGTAAATTTTGGATTTACATTTCAAGATTACTTTTGTGATTTTAGCAGGGCCTGTTGTGATAGTGCAAGGGGTAAAGGTTTTAAACTAAAAGAGGGAAGACTTAGACGATTCAAGGAAGAACTTTTTCACAATGAGGGTGGTGAAACACTGGCACAAGTTGCCTCATCCCTGGAAACATTCAAGGTCAGGTTGGACAGGGCTCTGAGCAACCTGTCTAGTTGAAGATGTCCCTGCTCATTGCAGGGGGGATGACCTTTAAAGGTCCCTTCCAACCCAAACTATTCTACGATTCTACGATTTTTTTCATGCTTGCTTTCTTAGAAAAGTCTCACACCTGCATTGGGTAGGTGAGATCAATGACATTATGGAAGAGTTAAATTGCTTTAAGTGAGATCAACATCGAAGTCCTGTGCTGTCAATAGTTTCCATTGCAAAGATGTAGAAATATTTATCACTTGTGTGATTTAGATTACTTAAGTTAATAAGAATGGATTTGCTGAGATTGAAAGCAAAAAATTCCAAGATTACAGACAGGGGACTTACAGAATAAATTGAATGCAAACCCAGCAGCAAAAGTGTGTTTCTAATATATTTTTTTTAAACCTGCCACAACACTGAAACATCAAGGTGACGATGCAGTTGTTCTTTTATGGTCCTCTCTGTAGAATTTTTTTCCCCCAGTTGCATACTCCAGTGCTGTCAAATGCCTCTGTGAAGCCATAAAAATCATCCAGATCAGAAAGGCTGGGCAGAAGGAAATCTGATGTGAGATTTTGTGCCTTCACAGAAAAAACTTGTCTATCTCCCTGCTGATTTTCACTTGCGGCTCTATTATTCCTCATTATTTTTACTTTCTCACTGGCATTTTACTTTCATCACCTACAACAGCTCAGCAAAACCCAGAGAAGTGCAATGTAGCTACACCACAGAAAAGCGTGTGCGCAAGTACACACATCCACAGCCACATACAGCAGGTTTTGTTACTGCCCCTCCTGCCCTACACTTCTTCTCTACCAGTGCATTTAATCTGAAATGGCAACGTGCGTGATGATTAGCTCCTTGCTGCACAGCCACAGGGCTGGCAGCAATTTTTAGAGGAACATTGTGGGAACATGCATGGCTCTTGCACAGCTAATCAGAGGAATGAGGTATGTCCTCTGCTGCCAGAAAGAACCGTTGCAAAGGAGGAATTAATTTGCCCCATTCTCTGACGAATTATAGCTCCTCTCCCTCTGTCTCCTTCATGAAAGAAATCACAGGCCTTCCTTTGCTTCCCGTTTAGATGTGAATGTCTAACTGCTCAGCGTACATCCTCTCTCCTCTCCTTTCTGCTTTCAGTCCCCTGCTCTCTAGAGCTCTTCTGCTACCTCCTGACAGCCAGGTTTTAGTCCACGTAAATTCAGCTCCTCCTCACACCCCTCTTTCAGTCTACTTGAAGACATTCACCATTCCTGTTCTTTCTCCTCTAATTTCCACTCTCCTTTCCACTTTTAGCAGAATTTTGTCATTCTTACCCAATTCTAGCAAACCCAGTCTAGTTGGAAGCATTATTAGGAACACAGTGACAGTCCTGGCAGCGGAAGAGTCTCCTCAGAACACTGGTACAGCTGCTGTTCCTTGCCCCATTTACACCTTACTGAAGAAAAGCTGTCTAATATGCAATAGTACCAATACTATAATAGGGAGAAGGAACCAAAAAGATTCAGAGATGTTTTGCTCCATCGAGCCTGTATTCTTATCCTCTGTATTCATCGTGACTCCTTTTCTTAGGGTCTATACATTGTTGGACATCTCTCTTTATTGTTAGATACTCTTCTTTCACAGCTGCCTGTTGTCCCTCATTCTGTGCCCATTCTGAACTCCTTGCTCCTACGCCTCCCTGTTCTACTCAAGTTTGCTTCTTTAGCAAAACTTGCATGGTTCTGTTAAAGAAATATGACTTCCTTCTTCAGTCTTTCAGCTACTACATAATTTACCCGCATAACAGATTTAATACTATTTTGGAACTTATTTGGAAAACTACACTGAATACACCATACTGATACCCAGAAGACAAGTTCCTCCTGCAACACAGCCAGGGTGGGAAAAGTAACTGTTTCTTCTGTTAAATTTTTTTTTGCATGATTACTACTGTGGCTAAAAACATGAGACAATAAGGGATAGCTCTCAAAAATAGCATAAAATTTTAGAAATTACCTTTTCTCTCAGGAGTTAATTAGGTAAAACACCACTAAGAATGGTTTCATCACAGTACAGTGAGAATTGCTTTTACATTAAAAGGCAATGCTAAAATGTACATTCAGAAACGGGATAAATCAGGCATAAGGTTAGGGAAATAAATGACAAGATTTCATCATCTTAGAGTTTAAACTATATAGAAATCGATGCTTGACTGTCTTTGATACAATCAGTTTACATCAGTTTAACAAACCATTAAAATAAAAACATCCTAGGAAGGAATCTTGTTTCCAGGGTGGTATTATTAAAGTACTTCCAACTTTTGAATTGCTGACACTGAGCCAGACTGCATCACACTGTTCAGGCTTTATGATCCATTACCAAATGCCTCTTTATAAAGTAAAAAAAACCAACAAACCAAACTACAAAATCCCACAAGCAAAAAAAAAACCTCACTGCTTTTTGTAGACAAGATCACTGATACAAGGTTTTGTTCAGCGCTCACAAATTTGTTCAGAAAGTTATGACCTGATTTTAAAAGTTCTGCTTCTACAGAGTTGCTAAAAACGATATACTCCTTTTTTTCCCAGCTTTCTTCTACTGTATTCTACCTCTCCTGATTCAGGTGGGCTGGAGAACACAGTAATTGGAAAAGAGATCTGGTGAAAAATGAGAACAAGAGGAGGTCCACCCCCACTCCTACTGAAGTCAGTAGAAAAATTTCCATTACCTTCTGCAATCTTGGCATCCAGATACTGAAAAAACAGCTCAAGATTTCAAATAGTCCCAATTTTCCTTGGGCTGAATGTCAACCACTGTATTCCAGCATGATTCTATTGTGCCCATTCTCCAGTTTGCACCCTGGTGCATGCCCACATCTTATACTTTCTCTGACTTCAGTTGTAGTCAAAAAGAATCTGATTTTCAAAAATCACCCAGAAAAACACAACAAAACCATCATTCAGTATTCCTGGCTGAAAGATGGTAGAAACAGAAACATTGCAGTATTATCTTTAAACAGCGGATGGTGAATGTTAGTTTGACCACAGAGAAGGTTTTTATACATATATATATATATGTACATACATACACAATCTCTATATACACATTATAAATATAGTAAGAAAATATTGTAAAAATATTAATTTTGCTCAAATACCTGATTGAAGTGGACTAATATTATCCTGCATTTATGTGACCTATATCGTTGGTATGAGAGCCTTGTTAGAAGCCCTAAAATCTACAATACTTGCAATTGTTAAAAACAAGGAGTCTGTCTGTCTGACAGTCACCTCGTGCCACACCAGAAGTTAGGTGGGAGGTGGGCCCTCGTATCTCAGCATCAGCTTGAAGGACCGAGCAAAGTTGTTGGCCCGCGAGCAGCTGTAGGGCAGGGGCAGGAGGAAGGCCAGGAGCAGGAGGAGCCAGAGGAGCAGCTGGAATGGTAGTGCTGCCCAGCACACTCGACGCAGGAATGAGCACACGCCTCCAGAGCGCTTCTGAAAGACACAAACCACAGAGCAACTCAGAAAAACGAGACCTAGGGAAGTGCATTTCAAATACACCAAAATGCCAGGCAGAGGGGTAGAACAATCCATGTTGTCCTTGCCCTGGGATCCAGCCTGGGTGCTTGGCACGCTGCAGCTGACTGAAGCTGGTCCTGAAACCATTTCTCTTAGGAGAATATTTCACTCTCTTCCAGAATTCGCTGCTGCAAACTGCTGTCTCCGAGGAAAACACTGCTGACTTTCTAGCAGAAGAAAACAATTGACTACAAGTCCATTTCCCAGTTACAACATCCATTTTCCAGTTACAAACGCTCACACCGAAGCTAATGACCAGTCTCCTCAGAGTCAGCACGGGACACAGAAGCTCTACATTAGTAAATCTCCTGGCAGTAAAATGAGAGTGCTGGTGCCTGGAAAAGAGGAGCCAGCCTTCTGCTCTCAGCAGAAAGGAGCTTAGCTTGCAGCTCATCCACCTCACCTCACCGTCATCTCCCCAGCTGCAATGGGCTCTTCAGACCCTGACTTTGAGGTCCATGGGGCTGCAAGCCAGAAAAAGGGCCGTGCAGTGCAGCTTACCTCAATACCTCTTTACCATGCCCACCTTAAACGTTTATGTGATGCAAGAGAAAGAAAAAACACAGCACTGGCAGCAGAGAGGACATTAAAGTCACATGTATTGCTGAGCCATCACAAAAGGGACACACTACAGCACCATCGTGAATAGTCCGTGGAAAACATCAGCAGAGACAATATGGAGCAGAATGATGTTAGAGGAAAGTAATTACTCTTTTGGATTTTTTAAGGGTCTACCTCTTCCACTGCTTTCTAAATTTCTGTCTCTAGCAGCTTTATGAAATGCTTACAGAATTAATTATGAAGGCAAATATACAGCTGCAGTTACTGAACACGAGACAGTTGTGCTGTGAAATCATTACTCTGTTGTAGTTGGTTTCCTTCCATTAAGCCAAACGGCTGATGAGATTTAATTATTGTTTCGGGCAGATGTAGAGGCAGCAGAGCAACAGCTGCTTGCTCCTATCATTTCTGGCCTGCAGTATCTGAGTTGTAACTTGCTTGCCAAGGTCAGTGAAAACTCAGGTCCTTGGCCATAGGAACTGTCAGTAGTGAGTGGGCAATGTGTAAATGTCACGTTGTAAGTGGAACTCTGACTTTAAGCACTCTTGGGCACCTTCTCTGGGTACAGCTAGCATTTACCCTCCGAATCAAAGCTTCGCCAACTTGGCTGCATCCCAGGACTCATCTCTGCTACTGTGACCTGTTCTCAAACACAAGCCAAAGCACCAGGGGTAAGTAGCTGTACTAACAGGACTTTCCCTTCTCCGGTCCTGGAGCCCAGACCTGAAATCCTTCATCTCATCTCCTCTGGATTTCATCAGCCTATGGGCTGAACAAAACCTGCAGGACTTCTGTGTTTAGAGTCAAAGCTAAAACCTCTATGCATAACGTCAGCAGCCACCACTCTTGGTCAGAGCTTTCGGGGCTCGACTGTAATGCTGTGAAACAGCTGCTCCTTGGTGCAATCAGTACTGGCACTGACACCTTCTGTTTTCATTGACCACTTCTCATTCTTAATTCTCCACTGCATCCGCAATATGCAGCAATATGACAAATATGTGTTTATCACAGTGTCCCATCTATAAGGAAAAAAGCCTTTTCCGGGTTCCAGAAGTCATGGACTAGTTTATATATATTAACAGATGTAGTTCTGTCGGTGGGAGATCAGATTAGAGACACCTCTGCCTTGAGACAACTCAAACTATGTTCTTTTTTCTACAACTTAGATGTAATAAGACTTAATGCTGGTATTGTTAAAGGGTAGAATCCTGTGACTTGACTGTTCAATAGTTCATTATGGCTGGAGGTCTCAAAAATGTTCTCAGAAACTCAAACTGGGAACTGTAAGTCCGCCTCTCACTGACACAGTGTGAGAAGGCCTACCAGTCTTCCTAGCAGCATCCAAAACTTTTCCTTTACAGCTATCAACGATTTAGTGCTGGTTTTGAAAGCTACATCAATCTGAAACTATTCTTTCATTGCCAGACCAGCTGCCAGTTACCTCCTGCTTACAAACTGGTGAGGAAATAGTGGGCTTTTCCAGGTGTACCTCATCTCTGTTTCTGCCACAGCCCAGGAAGCAGGCACCTCATGGTCACTCAGATTTGTTGTTGCCTTCCCAAGATGACCACACTGCCAATTAGTCACTCATGTTTTTCCAACCCCAATTCTTTTACTGCTCCAGCATTTGATTCAGAGCAGGTCACTGACTCTGCTCTCATCTCTAAAGCAAAGTTTATTAATATAACCCTAAGAAATAGGACAAGATTGAAATGTTATTTCTTAAGTGCCTTGTTTTTAGATCTACTGAAAGGAGCTGTAAAATAGTATTGCTTGTCAAAGCTCATCCTCCAGAAAGAAATAATGTGAAATGGCTTTATTAACAAGCTATCATTTGCTCTCCTTGGCGCTTTCTGCAGGGTGAGATGCTCAGCTAACCATAGCAGATCCTAGCATTAGAAAAATCTGTGGAAGAACATTTGCCTGAGGGCAGAACTTCAGAGAAGGCAAAATATTTTGCCTTTATCTGCTGCTTTGCTCCCACCTGCTTGCTGGGTTTATAGGCATTTGTGTTTGATGAACTTTTGTCTTTGCTGCCCAGCTTCTCTGTTTTGTTTGATCACACAGGAAGGTCAGAATCCTGCATTTCTAACTCCATTTGTTGCCATGGGAATGACTCTGCTATCACAAACGTGGTATTATGATGTCTCTGCAGGACTGAAGATGAGGCACACAGGAGCTGTGAGGGTTTGGTGCTTTCAGCAAATTTGCAATGATAAGCTCTTAATATATGAGGGCCCCAACCTGCACACACTGCAATCCATGGGAGATTTACCATTAACTTCAGCGTCTGCAGCAGGATTATGCACAGAGACAACTAAATAAAGTCAGGATTGGGAACTACTTATTCATGGAGTTCAGCAGATACCCTTACAAATGGATTCATTACTTATATGCCCAGGTTCTGGTGTTCTTGTGCGCATGAAACCTACATTAGTTCTGCTGCTTTGTGCAGGAACAATGGGTGATACAACTTTTTTTTTGTGTGTGTGTGTTAGTACCACTAGAGATGTAATAGTTATAGGATAGATAATTTTGAAGGAGACATGTCAAACTAATAGAAGAGATCATACAGCTGGAAAAAGCAGGGAACTGAGGGCACTGAGTCCCTCTCTGAGTGACAAAAAGCAGCAATTCAATTTTACTAAGACTAAGTCAAGGTTTTTTTGTGAGAGAGATGCTTTCAGGCTGTGGTGACCTGAGACTATAGCACCACCAGGGAATTCAGGAGACCAAGGTTCAAACCTCTGCTCTGCTGGACTTAGAGTGATTAGGGCTGTATGAGTCTAGTCGGAGTCAGGACCACACTCCCAACCCTTTAGCACATCATTCTGGGTTAGAAAAGGACAGACTGACGCAGTTCCACCTTTGCAAAAGACAGTTTGAACATCTAATTTCTTTATGAGATCAAAGGCAGCAACCACAACACTTGCTACACACTGGAATTCCCCTATCGGTACTGGCATTGGTACAGGTACTACCAGGCACCCACAGTGCCTGCAGTGCCTGTGTCAGATCTAGGCTCCACAAAATATTCTGAAATCAAATCTTCCTCTGAGGAAAACTGGCAAAGCTCCAGTGAAGTCAACAGAGCCTTAATTTCCACCATCTTAGAATAACAACTGGAATACCTGGGTATCGAGCCAAAGTGTCAGAGACATTTTTGAAACACACATGGAAAAGGAATAGGTTGACATTTAAAAAGAAAATATACTTTTAAAGTTCACCATCAAGGATAAATGTCCTCCCTCTTTTCCCTCAAAATACCAGGACAAGCAAGGACTGTCAAGGGGCAGACGGCTGTGTTTTGTGTAATGCTAAATGCATGCTTGTTACCAAATGAACTGCGCTGGCTGCGAACATTCACATTTGTACTTGATTCATGTTGGGGCGTTTGAATGACAAGCATCGGTTTAGATCTAGGGAGTCCTCAGCACTTAAATCTGTTTGCAGTTAATAACTCCTTACCAAATGCACCGTGAAAAATCACTTGGATGGGAAACAGCAGAAAAGCACTTTAGAACTCGCTACATAATATTCCTGTGTAAGTTGCTGAAGTGTTTTACTAAAAACCAGTGCACTCCCTGGTTTGCTATTGACCACATTCCAGGATACATGAAAACACACAGTTAATCTAGCTGCTTGAGGGAGGAGAGGAATATAGCATTTTATACCGTGCTCATTAGTGGGTTTTTGCTGCTGCTTGTATGTCATCAGCATGCCTGACAAACATCATACCTGCACCACTGCACTGTGAGCCAGCAGAGAAAAAAGATTTAGTCTGGATTCATTCCTCTTACCTTAGAGCAATTCACCGAGGGACTATCCTGGGAAATGCACTGCTGTCTGAAAACTCCTGCTCTCTCCATGGATAAAGGGACCAGTGTCCTAGTGTCCTACAGACACTATACAAAGATGCCAACAGCTGTGTTGCTTCATGCCAGTGCTGTATCCAGCCCAAGTATCCTATATTCTACAGCAATCTGTGCAGATGTATGGGGACTAAGGCAAGCATAAATAACTTCTCCTTAACATTCCCAGCCTCCAACTGCTTTCAGGTCAGGCTGTTTCCTAAGCCTGATGTAGCTTCTCCCTCTAGTTTAAATTCAGCAAATCTTTCTTCCAGATGTTTGCCCAGTTTCCTCTTGAACCTATACAAACTATACAATATCCTTTAGCAAGGAGTTCCACGGGTCAACCAACTGGCAAGAAGAACAGCTCCCTTGTGTTAGCTTTGAACCTGGCTCCTAGTTCGTTCTTGTGGAAGAGATGCAGAGTCAACCCCCACCTACATTCTCTGCATCATGCATAATTTTGTAAACCCCCAAGTTAAATGCTTAGAAAGGATGAATCCA